GGTAAAATAAATCATCTTGAGATGGAAATGTTAGAGAAATTTGTCTCTCCAGTATACTTATATATTTAAGAAAATTATCTCTATAATATGGCATGTGTATGTGTAATTTTCAAGGCAAGGAAACTATCTCAAAATCTTCCCATCCATTAAGTGGGGATAGTAATAGATAACTCACAACTTTGCTGTGATCATTTACCGCTGATCACAATGAGTTACTCAGTGGTCTTTCCTAGCCTTTCACCCTTTCTTGGAAAGTCTCAAATCAGGTGAAAATGGAGGGAGTTCCTAAGGAGATGCGGAGTGCATGAATCTCAGGTCAGGCTCATACAGCTTTCAGAGTAGCAGAATATGTAGACAAAGACTCAGTTTGTTTTGTTGTTTATTGTTGTGGTTGCTTAGTCACTAAGTCTTGTCGGACTCTTTGCGGCCCCATGGACTATAACTCACCAGGCACCTCTGTGGAATTTTCCAGGGGAGAATTGTGGAGTGGATTGCCATTTTTTTCTCCAGGGGATCTTTTTGACCCAGGAATCAAACCTGCATCTCCTGCATTGGCAGGTGGATTCTTTACCACTGAGTCACCAGGGGAGTCTTCATTTTGTTAGCAATGATATTTACTGAAAGAAGTTTCAGGTTGTAGTCTTGAAAATGTATGCTTCAGGAAATAAAAAGTTTCTGTATGTAGGAAGGACAGAGAAATTTTTGTGATCAGTGGCAATGAAATCAGTTCAGTTCAGTCACTCAGTCGTGTCTGACTCTTTGTGACCCCGTGAACCACAGCACACCAGGCCTCCCTGTCCATCACCAACTCCCGGAGTCCACACAAACCCATCTCCATTGAGTCAGTGATGCCATCCAACCATATCCTCTGTCGTCCCCTTCTCCTCCTGCCCTCAGTCCTTCCCAGCATCAGGGTCTTTTCAAGTGAGTCAGCTCTTTGCATCAGGTGGCCAAAGTATTGGAGTTTCAGCTTCAGCATCAGTCCTTCCAATGAACACTCCTTTAGGATGGACTGATTGGATCTCCTTGCAGTCCAAGGGACTCTCAAGAGTCTTCTCCAACACCACAGTTCAAAAGCATCAATTATTCTGCACTAAGCTTTCTTTATATTCCAACTCTCACATCCATACATGACCACTGGAAAACCATAGCCTTGACTAGTTGGACCTTTGTTGACAAAGTAATGTCTCTGCTTTTCAATATGCTGTCTAGGTTGGTCATAACTTTCCTTCCAAGGAGTAAGCATCTTTTAATTTCATGTCTGCAATCATCATCTGCAGTGATTTTGGAGCCCAGAAAAATAAAATCAGCCACTGTTTCCACTGTTTCCCCATCTATTTGTCATGAAGTGATGGGACCAGATGCCATGATCTTAGTTTTCTGAATGTTGAGCTTTAAGCCAATTTTTTCACTCTCCTCTTTCACTTTCATCAAGAGGCTCTTTAGTTCTTCTTCACTTTCTGCCATAAGGGTGGTGTCATTTACATATCTGAGGTTATTGATATTTCTCCTGGCAATCTTGATTCCAGCTTGTGCCTCTTCCAGGCCGGCATTTTTCATGATGTACTCTGCATGTAAGTTAAATAAGCAGGGTTACAATATACAGCCTTGACATACTCCTTTTCTTATTTGGAACCAGTCTCTTGTTCCATGTCTACTTCTAACTGTTGCTTCCTGAACTGCATACAGGTTTCTCAAGGGGCAGGTCAGGTGGTCTTGTATTCCCATCTCTTTCAGAATTTTCCACAGTTTATTGTGATCCACACAGTCAAAGGCTTTGGTTTAGCCAATAAAGCAGAAATAGATGTTTTTCTGGAATGCTCTTGCTTTTGTGATGATCCAGCGGATGTTGGCAATTTGACCTCTGGTTCCTCTGCCTTTTCTAAAACAAGCTTGAACATGTGGAAGTTCACAGTCCACGTATTGCTGAAGCCTGGCTTGGAGAATTTTAAGCATCACTTTACTAGCATGTGAGACGAGTGCAGTTGTGCAGTAGTTGGATCATTCTTTGGCATTGCCTTTCTTTGGGTAATGAAATATTTTAGTTTTATATTAACTAGTCAAAAAATTGACTTTTCTATATCCCCTAAAATAAGTTATATGCTTATAATGCTACGAACAAATTCATTTAATAAATTTTTATTGACCTTCTAAATTGTGCTAGGTACCAGCAAAAAAGCAGGCGGAATTCTTTCATTCAAAGCTTCATTGCCAAGTGGTGAAACTGAGTAAAATCATAGCAATAGAAAGTTTAGGTACAAGAAATATCACTCTATTCTCTTGGTCTTTCTGAGAATTCCAACTAATTCCAGCTAATCTTACATGGTTGAGTTGTAGTTGATTCTGATTAATCTCCTGGCATTGAATATTAATGTTTGCCATTTCACAATAAAGTTGAAATAATTGAATGAACAGTATGGTGAGAAGAAAGAACTGAATAAAGAATCCCTCAATTTTTTTTTTTTTCAAAAACAAAAATGTTTACAAACATGTAAACTGAAATAATGTTACTAGTGATTAAAAATATGTAAGAGTGCCTGGGAGCGATTTGTTATTTGGCAAGTCATTTTCTTGACCCAGCTGTTATATCAGCCAAGGTGCTTCCCATCAATTGCTTTCAGCCACTTTCTTTTTAGGTGCATATGAAGTCAAGGGGAGATGATGAGAGAAAATGATGATCAGATAAGCAAGAGCCAGATTGTGAGTCAATAATGACTAGTGGTGGACATTGTAAAAGACTCTAGGGCAGGTCTCTTAAAGTAGATTAGCAATTATTAAAACTACCCACTGTTTTTATATTTTTTGAATATTAGCATGGGGGTGGAAGCCCCTATATATCATGTATCTTCACATGGAAAAAATAATATTGCTTGGTTTATAGAAGAATGTTCATGAAAATATGTAGATTGTCTCCAAAACAAATCAGAGTTAGTTATTGCCTGTCTTTGTTGATACACAATAAGGTAAAGAAATCTAAACAATGTGAGATTTTTTGCTAAACAAATAAATAATAAAAACACCATATCCTGTTATTTGCATCTGAGAATCAAATGATATAGATGATTTTGAAAAACTGCTTTTCAGAGCCAATGAAATTTTCTTCTAATCCAGTGTCTAATAGCAAATAATCTAATATTTTATAATCTGTGATAGCTTAGTAATATCAAGTTCTTTCCACTGAGTTTTAAGGGACTAATATTATTGTATATTCTTATATTTGATAGCCCTGGAAGATATTTCCCTTCTCACTAATTAAGTACATATATTTGGAGATCCTAATGAGCAAATGATTTTACTAACTGACAAAAATTGTATTATTTTCTAATTTGAATATTTGTAAAAATTCAAATTACACTTTTTTTTTTTAAATTTAGAGAATGTCTTTCATTTATCTCCAGCATGCCTACAGTATTTAGGAAGCTTATAATGAAAATAAGAAGGTATAACAAATTAGTAAACAAGAGATGAACGTGCATGTATACATAGTATTTATTCATTTATAATGTTGTTAAAGTCAATTCTACTTCATGATCATGTTAATTGCACTCCAGGTAATACCCATTTTCTCTAGTAACTAATGTAGCACCATTGGATTTTCAGAAGGTTATTTTCTTAATTTGACTAGCCAGGAAGTATTTTCCCTGTTGAAAAACAGGTGTAAACATCAATACCAAAGATAAGAGAATGATATCATGCTGTTTTCTGATGTCTCTAGCTTAGACAATTCAGCAGGTTAAAGTCTGAGGATTGAGTAGGGCTATTTATCAGAAGTAAAGAACTAGAAAAATTTTAGTGTGACTCACAGACTTTAACTGAGGGAATGACAGGAAGCCTTTCAATAGCAAAATAATTTGTCAAATGCTCTGAATACATAGGGGCTGTGTAACAAACATGTGAAATCAAACTCCAGCACCGTAACTACAGGGAATTTGTGAACTGTTTCTCATTTCCTCACTGTGTAAATTATATGCCTGTACACCTGAGACAAGAGTTGACTCTCACGATCTCACTGAAATTCTCATTGTTTGACACTGGCTATATTGTTTCAGTGTTTATGCTGCTTTTCCAAGTTTCAGCTGCTTTTGAATGAAACGAAGGAAAATCTTGTTAAACTCTCAACTATTTTTCAGTTTATTATGTCCTCTGTACTTGAATCTACTGTCAACTTTTGCCAGCTTTGACTATTTATGGACTAGAGGTTGAATATTATGGTTCAAATCTATGTTCAATAACTTCTCCTAGGTATGCCAAATAATATGAATCATAAACATTTCAGATATTGAGTTCCATGCTAGTTGACCCAATACTTGTTAAAGACTTCTATGTACTGAAAAATTGTTAGAAGGCGTTACCAGCTAATCAGGGTAAGAATTGCAAGATTCTAAGCTGTACATTAACACCATTTGTGAGAAAAGGAAAAGCAAAATAATAGTAATAATAATAATAATAACAATTGGCTTTGTTTTTGTTTGTATCTAAAGATTGCTTTCACCCTATTTCTTATCATTGTTTGCCTAAAAATATCAAAAAGTATTTAACATGCATATACTCATCCATCGTTAACATTTCTTTAATCTTATATGGTGGTGTTATTTGTGTATATTTTCTGTTGTGTTGTTTCTTTGTTTACTTCTTTGAAAAAGCATGTCAATTTTTGTTTTACCTATCTGTATTTTGCTACTGCATGTCAAACATTTTAAATGACTCAATGAACAAATGAATTCTTGTCATTTTAAATTTCACTCAAAATATTGCAAGCAGTCTGCTTATTCTCAAACATTGCTCCAGGTTTTTGCTTTGTGTAAGAGCATAAAAAATAAGTGAACAAAAAAATGACAAGAACTGCGTGGTACAAGGAGCTTTGTACCAGATAATCTGTTTAAGCCTGTTACATTTAAACCTAAATAAGATATGTGTATTTATAATTTGGATCATTTATGTTTCTGTTTTGTTTGCATGATATGATTTTGTTTTATATTTTGTTTTTTTCCACTCACCAGATGTTCCCAACACTTTGCTTCCCACTACTATCATCCCCTCCCTTACCACTGCAACAGTCACAACCACTGTAGCCATAACAACCTGCCCAACCACATCTGCAACCACCAGCAACATAAGAGGTACAGTATGCTTCTTTGTTATGGCCTAGAAAACACGTTAAATAGAAATTTATAGGGCTTACTTTTTTAAAAGAGTAGAAGAATTGAGATCCAATTTTACTTAATTATAAGGAACAATTAAGTCAGTTACTGTCAGTTAGGGTTATTGTAATAAAATATGAGACAAGATGGTACATTTTAATTTTTCTTAGTGTCATATGATTCATGAAAATGTTCAGAATATAGGTAAAAAAAAATATGGAGCTCTGAAACACTGACATATTAAAATGTGAACATGGGAGACTTTTTTTTTTTTTACCTTACCTTATAGAAACAAGCAAAGAAATAAGATGTTCAAAAATGCAGAGGTCGTTTTTGCTTTCTTATGACCCTACTTTAGTGTTACTGATTTTTTATTTCTCTGCAACTAGATTAAAATGGCTGCAGTGTTGAGTTTGTTCTAAAATTAGCATGACAGGGGTCATTATAATATATTTACCACATAGAACTTTTAGGTAAATATTTAATATATCATCCTAAAGTGATTTTCTGAGTGGAGCTACTTCTTGTACTTAGAGAGTGTTCCAGAAGCAAATGTTCTAGGCTTATCCAGGATGACAGGAATTGATGGTTGACTCTAGGAATAATTTCTGGTGTCTGATTACTAATAAGTTGTTTTTCTGCAGCACAGCAACCACAAAGATATTGAAGGAATTCTTAAGGGCAAAAAAAAAAGAATCATTATGTCATGGTTCAAAAATATAAAAAAACATTTCTGAGCAGTTAAGTGGTTGCTAGATAATGAAAAAATGAAAAGTTTTTTGAGATATTTGAGCACATTATAGAAATACACATTTTAAACTTTATTTCTACGTTCAGAGACAATGTGTCCTATTTAAGTCTGTCATTTACTCTTATACATGCTTATACATGTTTTATGTCATGTTGGCTGTACTAATATGTCTTAAATGTAGCAATTTAATTTGAGTTCATAAGGACTTTGCAAAAATATATATCTAAAGTTTCATCAGGGATACACTTAACATTGTTTTCCTTCACTTGTAAAGACTATTCAATTAGACTTCTTATGTTTCTTAGAATTTTTATTAATTCTCAGTATTAGTTGAGTTGCTGCTAGCTTTTACTTCGTGTTTGTAGTATTTTTTGTCTTGTTCCAGAAAGATATTTTAGTATCCGGTAAGTGTTCATTTTTAATAATTAAGTTCTGTTATGCGGGGTACAAGATTGATAGCTAAAACTTGATGGTGATAACAATAAAAATCATTAAAAATACCTAGTATTATTTAAAAAACTGTATTTGATTTAAATATAAAAGTAGAACAGTTTAAAGGTCATTCTTATAACAGTGTCTATGAAATGGGTGGAAAAATAATAAAAATGAAGAAAAAACACTTTATGATAATATATGGAGTGTAAAATATCTAATGTTCTACTTTGCTTTACTTATTGTTTTTTTTAAAGATTTTTACAAACAGTAATTCAGATGAAATGTAGCTATTGCTTTCCCACAAAATCTCTATGGTAATGTTAAGTTCTAAGTGTACAAAGAAATCACTTTGATGGAAAAGGATATATTGGTTTAATTTTTTAAAAAAGACCTACTTATAACAAAAAAAGACTACATAATTTCTTCTTCAATATGTATTTATCAAATACCTGTTATATATATTATATAAACAGCACTATGCCAGGGCTTAAAATTATGCATATTAAGCATATTGTATCTAAAAACACTAGCAAATTAATGCATTTTCCCCAAATAATCAGTGCCTGGGCTTAATTAGTTAAGGCATTCATATTTTTTGTGAGTATATATACATTAGGCTAAAATGAGAAAAAATATTTTATTTCAAAGTGAAGTGCTTAACAACAATTTTTTATATTTATTCACATGAATCTTAAGTGAATCTTACTGGTTCCATTTTATTTTTTTTTTATTTTTTATTTTTTCACTGGTTCCATTTTAATCAGCCTGCTAAAATGAAATCAGTTTTCTGCTTTTTCAAGTAAGTTCATTTTTTAAAGGTTTCCTAAGATGTTTTGTAAACTTTTTACACCATGGAATTCAAAAAGAATAAAAAAAGATATTTTTCCTTCAAAGAATCACATGAATAAATAAACCTCAAAGAAGACACACACACACACACACACACACACACACCATTCCCTCTTTCTTTACTCAACAGTTGAAACATATCATTTTTCAAATGGCATCAAGATATGTGAAAAGAAAACTTTTTATGTGTTAAGCAATTCATAGCAACTATTTTATACAGAAAAAATAGTAACAATGACATCAAATGTTAGTATAACGCCTATTGTACCTTGCTAACTTCAACAAACAACTGGGAACTGAAGAAAGTTACTAAGCTCACTTGCATGATTAATGTTCTAGTCCATATTTGAGGGAGTTGGGAATTTTGTCAATATATAAATATTTTATGATTTTTGTACTCTGCCACTTATAAGTTATATGATATTCACTTAGCCATGCATTACCTATTAAATTGGAGCTTTCAGATGCAATTATATTTTAGTGGAACTCATTTTTTTATAAAATGGCCAAAGATGTTACAAAATTATCATTTAACAGATATAATAAAAATATGTTGTCTAAGAAAAGCTAAGGACTAAATATTTTCATTTTGTCAATTTTTTTTAAGTTTATCTGCTTCATACCTGTCTCTCATTCAGTAATCTTAAGTGAACTAACTATATTTAATTTTATTAGCTTTAAATATCATTTCTTCAGATTTCATAAATATAACATTTATCTCTATCTGTACATACATATTTAATAAATTACCACAAATAAATCACCATTCATATCTCCATTTCTACTCTTTCACCACCCCTGCCATTGCTGAGTTTTCTTCTTTAGGTTAACATCTGGTTTAAAAATGAAGAATCATAGCTGCAGCTGTATTAAAAATCAAGATAAAATAGAACAAAAGAAGCTACTCAAATTGCCAGTTATAACCTTGAGAATCTGCATATCTCTTCAGTTCGTACATGAAATGCACACCCTTGTGTGCAGGGAGAAGAGCTTCGACCATAGGGAAGAAAGCTGGCAATTAGCAGTATCTTGTTACAAATAAGTGTGCTAAAAGACAGAGAGAGGAGCCAACTTTACCAAAAGTGGGAAAGACAGAGAATAAGTGAGTCCAGGAGACATCTTTAGGTGTGAGCTGTAGTTCTTCTATTCACACAGTCTTTGGTCTTACTGTTTACACGGTCTTCGTTGAACCAAACTTAGCACCTGCATTTCCATCAGAAAAATGAGAAACACTCAATTCTCCAATTGTCTTGAGGACTGGATAATATCTAGAGTTCTGGCAACATAATCAGCACTCAATGTATGACAATTATTGCTTAGTTCTTTTAAGTAGAGTGAATATATTCACGTTTGCATCATACAATTGATGAAATTGTATATTTTTCCTATAATAATTCTAGTTTTGACAAAATTATTTGGTGTTAGTGCACCGATTGCATTTTAATTTCAAACCTACTTTAATTATGTCAAAAATTAAATAATAAATGGCATTAGAACATATGGAACTTACCTATCCTTGAATATAACAACAATTAATAAATTGTCTATGAAGTTCATAGTATTCTTGATTTATATCATATATCTAAAATCTGAACATTTTATAGATCTCTCAAACGTTTTTCATTACAAAATGTCATTGCTATAGCACATTTTCTGCTTACAGAAGTTGCAACTTTTTAAAGCTAGTGGCCTGATTAATCCTATCAACTAATTTAGAAGATATATACCTATATATCTGTATCTGTATCTATCTACCCATCCATCTATCCATATATACTTTTTTACGAATTTGGGGTTTTCTTATCACTTTAATGAATTTTTAATGAGATAAACTTTGATGAGTTAAATATGATCATTTATAAAATGCTTCCAAATGACTTGATGTGATTTCTAGAATTAATATTATTTTTGCATGGTATGCTTACTTTGAAAGCATTTTTAATTTTTTAAGATAATTTATTTACTCACTTAGTTTTAGCTGTGCTGGGTTTTCACTGCCATGCAGGCTTTTTCTAGTTCCAGCAAGCAGGGCCTACACTTTCGTTGCAGTGCGAGGGCTTTTTATTGCAGTGGCTTCTCTTGTTGCTGAGCATGGACTCTAGGGCATGTGAACTTCTATAGTTGCACTGGACTCAGTAGTTGCAATTCCCAGGTTATAGAGCACAGGCTCAGTTGTGGCACATGAGTTTGGTGCTCCACAACCTGTCAGATCTTCCTGGATCAGGGATGGGACCTGTGTCTCCTGCATTGGCAGTCAGAATCTCCACTACTGGGCCACCGGGGAAGCCCTAAAATTTTTTATCATATTATACATTGTCAGTTTTATATAAACTATCTCATAATCTAAGAATCTTTAACAGCACCCTCATTTACAGATCATGATATAAAGATATTGAAAATTCAGGAAATATCTATGAGACATAGTGAGATAAATAAGTGATTATGTCTATTTATCATGATTTTCAAAAACAGAATTCACCATTGGAGCCTTTGTGCTTACCAAGACAGAAAAACTCCTAAATGCCTACTTGTTATCTGTTTCTGCTTCTGTAAGACTGTAAGTAAATTACAAGTGCAGAAATGAAATGATATATATGGAGAAAAGGTATAAAATATCTAATATACTCCCTGTCCTGTTCAAATACTTTATGCATTTCAAAGTTGCAAATAGGAAAAAAAATCCTAAAAGTGATGATGACATCATTTATACAATCCATATAAAAATCCAAATGAATTATTGGTTCAAGTATTGGTTTATTTTACATCAGACTTAAAAATGGAAAAATAATTTTTTGTTAATAAAACTGTACCATTTTGCTTATAATCACAACCAATTTACTAACTATAATGAGGTAATTGGAGTGGAACCTTACTTCAGAATGGCACTGCAAATTTTTTCTTAAAAAATGTATTTTTTAAATTTACCAAATCAATTATTATCAAA